AGAAAGGGGTTTATTGCCAAATGTTGAGCAGGTTTACAACATTAGGAAATTGCTGCGGTGCTTCAGTGCAAACATAGTGTCATAAATAGCACTTAAATAGACATGAAAAAATAAAAGTAGGGATAAGAATTAAAAGTGCTACGTAGATGTTGTTAGTGTTATTAAAGTTATTCGTTGCCTTCCTATCAGCTGAAAACAGCTCAAGCCCACTAAAATCACTCTTCACCCTTCTGATGCCCAGTTTAAACTTCAGTAGGTCATCTTGGCTGCATCTGCATGCCTAAGTGAACCGAGTTGCTGCCATCAGATGTGTTGATTAAATATTTGCATTAACAAGCAGTTGAGCAGGTGTACCGCATTGTCATCCTTTTTTATTATCTCTTCTTCTTTTATTCGCATTTAAAGAATTTAGTAATTTCTTTTCAGGAAGTGGTATGTTGGTACAGTTTGCTTGCAAATTTTCAAGCTTGGGAATTTAAAATTGAGTTTTAAAATTATTTTTATAACATTAAGAAAAACCTATACATGTTGTAAGTCATTTTCCTTCTATTTATAACTTATATTGCTGTTTGGGGTACATATGCACCCAAGCCTGAAGGGAACTTTGCATGATCATTATTATAATTTGATGATTCAATTAAAGTACTTCCCAGATTCAATGTGTTCTGAATTAAAGAAAGGATTGAAGGAATTATTTAAAATTATTAAAAAAGTAACCATGTCTGTTCTTATATTATGGGAAGACATGGAAAACTGGTTTGATACAAAGTGAGATTTCAGAGATGGACTTTGTTTGCTTTTGCTCTTTTGATCCATTACTATTCCTAGCTAAAGTCTACTTCATTGGTAACACTCAGTTTTCCTGAGATCCACTCTAGATAAGAATCACAAATTTTATTATTATTATTATTATTAAATATAAAATGCATGTTCTACAACACTTAGGTTGGTCCACATAAAGCTCACATTCTGCACCGAAGTAAAAACAAAAATTATAGTAATGTGATTCAGTTGATTAAACTAAATAAATCCAGATATAAAACCTAAATAATGAATCTTTTAATTTATTCTTGAATATATTTCTGAGCCTCACAGTGTTTGTTTTACAGCCCTGAAAGTGACAACTCAAAGGCAGTGTGGGAAATCCAAATAAAACATTTAAGACCAAAACTTGTTTTGGCGATGTGGCTTGCGTGTACAACTCTGCCTAGTGGTTTGGCAGAACATTGGCTGCACATTAAAACATTGAAAACAAATGAATAAATAAGTCCTTGCCAAACTGGGATTTAATCTGCTGCTGTGAATCTTGGCATCGCATCTGTATTTTTTGGAGATTTGGCTGAGATTTGGATATTTTGCTGTGATTGCACATTTCCTATCAGTCGTTTAGCTTTCTTTTTCTCTTCACTGTCTCAAGCCTCTTTGGTCCTGTTTAAAAAAATCACTCCCATCTCTCATGAAGTTGTCAGCCTTTCTCTTTATCTTTCCTGTGCCCTTCTGTCTTAGGTAATTAGCATCAATGCATGTGGTCATGTTTGTGCTGCCATTAATAAGGAGAAAACACAAAGCAGGTGGTGTCAGCTTAAACTAATCTGACATTTATTGGTCACAGGTGTATAAGTTACAACATACAGTTTGACTAATCAAGGATTTTTACGTGTAGCATCTTTTATGAATTAAGCAAAGCACACCATCAGGGAATGCTCTTGAGAGTAACTAAGCTTTTTTATAAATGAGGATCTGACGCTTTAACCCGAGGCCTCAGTTCAAAACATCACCACGTCAAAACCCACAGTGGTGCTATTAACATGACTTAAGATTCGACTTTGACTGTGCCAGTTGGTTTTTCTGTGTTTCAGGAGATGGGAACCCTAAAGAGAGCAGTCCTTTCATCAACAGCAGTGCAGCCACTAACATGGATAAGAGCCAGCAGTATGATGGCAATAACATGGCTCTGTTTGAGGTGGGCACACTCTTCACTGCCCTGTAATATAGGTTGCTGTCCTTAATTGTTATTATTAAGGAAATGTGACTGTATATGCTTTTAAGTTGAACTTTGCCTATATTTGTACTGCACTGCAGGAAGAGATGGATACCAGTCCCATGGTTTCCTCTCTGCTCAGCACTCTGGCTAACTACTCCAACCTGCCAACGGGCAGCAAAGAGCACGAAGAGGCTGAGAATAATGAGGAGGGGTCACGTCCATCTAAAAAACCTGTCAAGGTACAGTATGTTATATATGTGACCCATTTAACCTCACTCAAAACAACAAAAACAGGTGTAAAAGTGTCAAAATACTATCATATAATATGATTAGAAAATATCATAAAACAGGGAGTTCTTTACTATTTATACCTATAATGTCAAACTCCCTACATGTAATTTGAAAATAATTAATATATGTCAAATCAAATGTATCTAATAATTTTATATTAAAAAATCCAAATCCTATAATATAGGACATAATAAAGGATATTTTTATTATGTCCACACCTGTTTTTTCAGGTGGTCCAAATTTTAAAATTTAAAAACATAAAAAATTTAAAAATAAAAATGTTTAGAGAATTAAATACAGGCTGGTGAAATCACATGGTAAATGAAATTGGGAGTTCTCATAGTTTAACCATTTTTATTACAATGGTAATGTTTAAATATAAGTGACTATAATTTATTAATTTAAATTATCAGTAAAAGTTCATAATAGAGTCAATATTTTTCTACTTTCTTAAATTTATTCCAAATCTGCTTCAAGTGTTGCGTCACTCAACACCTCATAAAAGGACGGTATTGTTTTGTTGCAGTTTGTACACAGGAAATAAGCTTTAAATTGCATCCAAACCTTTATCATCATTTTATGGAAGATTGGAAAAGAAAGCATCAAAAACAGTTTTTAACACCAGAGATGAAATTTACTACATTAAATTATAATGTAGTAAATTTATGTTTACCTACAAATGTTTAAAGGTACCCATATGGAAAAGAAATAGTAAAAACCTATATGATTTACTCTGACAATTATGGTGTAAGTAAATTTACGGACTGCATAAATCATTTTAGTTAGTGTGTAATTTCATAGCAATTTTGCAAAGACACAAACAGTATTTCCTCATCTTTTAAAAATGCTGCACTTTTTAGAACCATATTACGGAGTCGATTAACCTTGCCTTTTTACATCTTTATCTAATATTCATTATGCTGCAGTTGTTAGTCGATTGTCCTTTTATTGTACTTGCATAAATTTGATAAGGACTGTTCTCCTTACAAGGAAAAATAAATGCCATTAAACTTTGCAGGTCTATGTGACATTACAATGATGTAACGAAGTCTACGTTCATATTTATTTATTTCACAATCACCGTTTAAACCTAACTTTCAAAAGAAGTATACAGGAAAGGAGTGTCTTCTCTTCCTAAGATCATATGGGCCAAAACGTACACTTACAATATAAGTCAGGGAAACATTGTTTGTTTTTCTTAAAATCACTTAGGCAATACTTAAATTTACTTACATTATAATTATTTGTTTCCTGTTTAAACCTGACTTGTTGCCCTCTATTGTAGTGTAAGTTCAAATATTTGTAGGTAGATATAATTACAGGTGTGGGATGAATTATGGAGTGTTACTTTTTTCAAAAGCTGTTTTTCTTACAATAAATGCAATAACAGAATGACTGAACAACAAAATAATAACTGACTTATTAGCCAGAAAAAAAGGAGTTAGTGCACTTTGTATCATAAAGTTTTTAATTTGTTATTTTGTTTTGTGTATTTTCCAGGCACCTCAGCTGGGCACTCTAATGGGAGTGTACTTGCCGTGTATCCAGAATATTTTTGGGGTAATCCTCTTCCTGCGGATGACATGGATGGTTGGGATTGGAGGCGTCTTTGGCTCGTTTATAATCGTCTTCATGTGTTGTTCTACAGTGAGTAAAACTGCAGGATTTCCTACTGTGGGGGCGCCCTGAGCCTCGCCGATCTGACTGCTGGCTGTTCAGCGTTCAAGATTAATCAGTCAACTAAAGGCACTCAGCATATCAATCTGGAAAAAGAGTGGTTTTGCAAACATTTACAACTGATCACTGAGATATCACAACTCTAACATCAATGACAGGAAAATACCGAATACCTCCTTACTGTGCATCCAACTGTTGGGAACTATTCATGTGGATATTTGTCACATGCAACCTACCTAAACATTGTGGCAGACCTATAGATGGTATAGAAAAGATGAATGCAGCCACCGCCGGTTGTTATCATACTGTTTGTTTGGAGCCAAGCTAATTAGTTACAGTAACAAACTACAAATAGCAGAATTCAACTCACCAAAAGTTTAGTGCAGTGTCTGTACCACAGAGAAAGCAATATTAGCCGTAAAATAGTTCCACTCAAAAAGCTCTAGAAGGCACTAACACCACAAAAGTTGATGGCTACAACTGAAAAATCACACTAGTCAGATATTTTATATAATAATTCAGTCATTATAAGGAGGGAAACAATGTTTGGAGGCCCAAAACAATGTTTAAATGTTTAAAACAAAGTTTTAAACATTTTTTAATATGCAAGTCTGTGAGAACTGACTGGGACCCAGCCTCAAGTGGCCAATACTGGAACTGCAGATTCTGGTCTTTCAGGCGGAGATTCTGCTACTTGTGCAGACCAAGCAGATGCCATGTCTATGTCCAGGGGGGAGCTAGCAAAATATTAGGCAGGTGGCTTTAATATTGTTTCTGATCAGTGTACAACCGGCTGTGTGAATGTGATTTCCATTGTGCAGCTGCTGAAGGTGACATAGTAAATCCTGATAAACGGCATTCTGCCAGTAAACCCACTAACAGGCTTTCAGCACCATATTTCTCCCTGTATGTGGGCTTAATCAACAAAGGGGCTTAAAATGTATTACATGAAATGTTTTTCAAAGAATTAGAGAAAGAAAAAGGGAAACAAGTCTTTTAAGTAAGGGAAGACACTGACCGTTGGAATCTTACTATAATTAGTTTGTGTCTAAAAATAAGGTTTAACAAACCTAAATTGATGGCTTGTCTGATTTTTGCCAGCACTTTGTTGGAAGTTTCAGGGGCGTTAAAAGGACATGTCTGGATTTCATTTGATTTCACCCTCACTGACATCACTAATAGATCATGTCTGGGCTTTATAAGTATAACCTCGGACTACTAGTTGCTGTAGTAGTATGCTGTTAAACTCAAATATTAAAGAGTTAAACTACAGACAAGTACCGTAAAAGTGTATCTAACTACCGTGCTCTGCTGTAACAGACTGTAGCTGAAGTGACAGCATGTGCCTAACCAGTCATTCCTGTGAGGAATGGTTCGACATGACCAGATGAGTCAGACTTTTGTGCTGCTGGATGTTTTCTCTACCATCCCCTCATTTCATCAGTGCCTCCCTGTCAGCCTTCCTTAATTTGACTTGCCCACCTGCTGCCTTTCAGAGTCCTGTAATCCCCCCCTGTTGTCTGCTGCTGTTTTCAGACCATGCTCACAGCCATCTCCATGAGTGCCATTGCGACAAATGGAGTCGTACCAGGTGAGTGGATATCAGAGGGCATGCATTAGTATGTTTGTGTGCAACAGAGCGGTGCGCTGAGCCCTGTGTGTGTTTGCGACTCACAGCTGGAGGCTCGTATTACATGATCTCTCGCTCTCTGGGGCCCGAGTTTGGCGGTGCTGTCGGAATCTGCTTCTACTTGGGCACCACTTTTGCGGGTGCTATGTACATTCTCGGCTGTATTGAAATTCTGCTGGTAAGTCGATTGAATTTTTAAATGACAGGTTTATATTGCTTTTCATGTTTTTCTTATATGCCTTCAATATAATAACAGGAAAAGCACATCTGGAGATAATAAAGGCTGAATTCCAGTTATGTTAGTTTTGGGGTCCTGTTACTGGTTTGGTCTTGTAGTTAATGTGTTAGTTAAGTGAAAGAGATCCATTATTATTTTTTATAGATGTATTTTGGCCTTTATTATTTTTATGACAGGACATGAGAGCAGACAGGTAAAGCAGGGAAGAGAACAGAGGAAATGACATCCAGGAAATTGTTCAGTGGGAAATCTGGGCCCCTGCAGAAGCGTTTCAGCATATGAGCTGCCTGCTCAACCCACTGAACTCTATCTGTACCCCACATGTTGTTAATTTGGTTGTTTACACCTGTGATCTTCCGGCTAAATTGTCTTCAAACATTGGCTGTAAAACAGGAATCATTAGCGTACAACATGTTCCAATAAATGATAATGAAAGGATAGCAGGCAAGAAGGGGACAGGGGGGAAAAGGCAAGGTTACTCTCCCACTTTAAACTAAATAACTCACATTCACATAGTACAGTAATTTTTAACCTAGTGAACTTTTTTTTTAATGTGTTCATTTATTTTATTCTCATTGCTTTAGTGTGTTTTCTTTTCTTTATTTCCATTATTATGAAAATGATACAAATGTGCTTTGGCGAGGTAAATTGCATTATTGAAAAAATAATGCAAGTGAGGAGATTTGGTGACATTTTCCTGTTTCTGCATAGCAGCTGACTGACTTTTTGCCAAACTGACAGATGCTGTGATTTCTCAGGAAAAAAAACATAAACCTATAAACACCGACTAGCCTCATGGCAACGATTTAACAAGATGCTGTGAACATTTCTTTGAGATTTTGGTCCATATTGATATCACAGCATCGCACAGTTGCTGCTGATTTCTTAGCTGCACATCCAGGATCCAAATCCGTTCCACCACATCGCAAAGAGTCCAAACAGTTTGAGATTTAAGTCTTCTGAGATCCTGCTGGACACAGCAATCAGAAAATGGAAACACTATCATCATTTATGATGTGACACGGTCCATTCATTTACTAAAGTGTGTCAAAAAATACTTGCACTATTACAGCACCGCCAGCAGCGGCAGCAGCAGCGTGAACTTTAATACAGGGCAGGTTGGATTGATGTTTGCATGTTGCTTTCATGTTGCCCAATTCTGACCCTAAGATCTCAATGTTGCAGAATAAATCAAGACTCATCAGACCAAGCAGTGTTTTTCCAGTATTGTCCAAGTTTTCAGTTTCCTGTTCTTAGCCGACAGGAGGAGAAGAGACACCTGTTGTGAAGCAGTTCAAAAGTCACTTAAATCACCATATGTCCCCATTCCGATGCTTAGTTTGAGCTTCAGCAGCCCATCTTGGCCATACCTACATGTCTCAATGCACTGAGCTACTGTCATGTGATTGGCTGATAACATATTCGTGTTAATACACAGTCACCAGGTGTACGTAATCAAGTATTTATAACATTATAATGATAATGTTTTGCTTTTTTAGAACTAAAAGGATAAATAATAAAATGTGTTTTTATATATCGCATGACGTTGTTTTTTTATTAACAAAAAAATAATTTGCATAAACATATTTATATGTAGATTCTCTACAATACTTCTGCAAACTTTGTCTTATTCTTCTCACCCACTCTAACCCTGTCTTCCTCCACTAATTTGTCTCTTTCAGATTTATATTGTTCCCCAGGCAGCCATCTTTAAGATTGAGGGCCTGGAGGGCCCCGAGGCAGAAGCAGCATTGCTCAACAACATGCGAGTGTACGGCACTATTGTGCTGAGCTTGATGGCACTGGTGGTGTTTGTGGGGGTCAAATATGTCAATAAGTTGGCACTGGTCTTCCTGGCCTGTGTCATACTTTCTATTCTGTCTGTCTATGCTGGAGTCATCAAGACTGCCATTGACCCCCCTGTGTTTCCGTAAGTGACTCTTTATTCACTGGTACAAATCCATAATGATGTCGAATTATCCTACGTGACAGGTATGCCCTGGGCTGGTTGTCTTTGCAGCGTCTGTCTGCTGGGAAATCGAACTCTTCTTTCTAAAGGATATGATGTCTGCGCAAAGGTCATTGAGATAGACAACGAGACTGTCACCACCAAACTGTGGAGGAGCTTTTGTGATTCGGAGTACCTCAATGCCACTTGTGACGAATACTTCAACAATAACAATGTTACAGAGATACAAGGTATTCCAGGGGTCACTAGTGGCATCCTGGCAGGTACATTTTTCAGTGTAAACCACCTTCTGTTGGGTTCTTGGCCAACCACAGTTCAGTATGTATTAAAGATTAAATTCCTAAACTTGGTCTCTCTTTCTCTCAGAGAACCTGTTTGGTAACTATCTGGAGAAAGGGATGATTCTGGAAAAGCGTGGACTTGTATCCGACGTGGATCCAGACAGTCCCACAACGAGCTCAAACCGCTACGTTCTTGCAGATATCACCAGCTTCTTCACTCTGCTGGTGGGAATTTATTTCCCATCTGTCACAGGTTAGTCCCAGGAAGGCACACTAAAGAGGTCCATTATGCTTTGTTTTTTTGTTTTTTGTTTTGTTTGTTTGTGTATTTTTTTTATCATAGGTGTCTGGAAAACTCCTCCAACTCGGGTCAAATAACTGCATGTAATATGCACCAGACCCTGCAGTTCTCTTAATGCTTGCTCGGAAATGTTAGAAATTGTTTTGGCTTTGTCTAACCACTTTAACCACTTTCCTGCTTAGCAGACAGCAGTTTCTACTTAGACAGTTTACTTTGTTTTCAGGTGTGAGAGATGGTGGTTGCAAATAAATGTTAATGTTTTGTTTTTTTATGCTCGCCGGATGTATAAATGGGAAAATATTTGCTTACAAGTTCTCCGTGCCAGTTTGTTGTTGTTTTTTGGTGACCTGTCAGTCTCGAGTTCACAGTTTGTTTTTGCTGCCCTCCAGTGGCCAAAGAAAACAGCACCTTTAACATGACTGAAGTCAGTAAAGTGCTTAGTATTCCATAAAGGTGGAAGTTAGTAATTACCCTTCTCATACTCTGTTTTATGTACATATATCATTTATATCCTCTGAAAACCTGAGTCTGATTATTATAATATTATCAAGTCACAACTCTTCCGATTATTTAACCTTCTGCTCAAAGGTATCATGGCTGGCTCCAACCGCTCCGGAGATCTGCGTGACGCTCAGAAGTCAATCCCTATCGGCACCATCGCAGCCATTAGCACCACGTCAACTGTGTGTATCCTTCAGTGAACCAAGGCCGGTTAAAAATAAACATTAATATAACTTTTCACAAGTTATTGTTACCTTTTCTACCTTTTCGGTCGTGTGGTCCTTATCAGCTTTTTTTACCCAGACATGTCCTGTGTGGTGCTGTTTGGTGCTTGTATAGAAGGAGTCGTCCTAAGAGACAAGTAATTCTACTTCTATTAAATTAAATTTTGGACCGTTATACTCAGAAAATGTTTGTAGTTTGAGGTTTGTGCCTTAATATTATTGTAAACTGGGCACATGTGTGACAGCAAAATGTTTGACAGGCCCAATAAAAAGTCAGAAAGGAAGAATGTAGGGAATACAGACCTGCACAGGTTGCTAACAATTTTAACAAATGTGTAGCTTCAGTTTAATAATAGTGCATTTCACTATGTGCAGCAATAAGTGAGTACATTACACTTTACAAAATTAAACATTTAGCACAGCTTCAGACTGCTTGCAGTTGTGTTTATCTGAGGAGTTATTTTCAGTAAAAATCAGAAACACTGAATCACAGCTGAGTCTAAAACCATGCTCTCAGTCATCTGTTAGCAGAACTCAGCTGTTCACTGTTTGTACCTGATTGAGCACAGGTTGGTCGAACATTTGCATTCACTGTGTTAACGCAGGAGCTCTGTCTTCATGTTCCTGCAGGTTTGGCGAAGGGGTCAGTGGCAACCTTGTAATAGGTACGCTGGCATGGCCGTCCCCGTGGGTTATTGTATTTGGCTCCTTCTTCTCCACCTGCGGAGCGGGACTTCAGAGTCTGACAGGAGCTCCCCGTCTCCTCCAGGCCATCTCAAGGGATGGCATCATCCCCTTCCTTAGAGTGAGTACACAAATCTATCTCTGTCTTAAATACAGACCTCTCAGAGCTTCCAACTGAGCCAGAAATGTTGTGGGGACTTGAAGATATTCTTGTCCCCACTCTAGGCTGTTATAGTTGACTAAAACTAAACAAAAAACTGAAACTAGATGTGAAAAACATTTTAGTTAACTGAAATAAAAAAAATTAAAACTAACTGACACTATTTTGTGAACTTGTGAAAACTGACAACTAGACATATTTATTGAAACCGAAACATATCCTCCATACAACAATAATTTATAACAACTAAAACTAAGACTTAATCTAAAAGAAACTAAACTCAAACTAAAACTGAAGACACAATTATTAATAATTGGTAAATATGACATTATTTATTTGTATGTCACTTGTGTTGTTGCAGATCTTTGGGCACGGTAAAGCCAACGGGGAACCCACGTGGGCACTTCTACTGACAGCTAGCATCTGTGAGATTGGCATCATCATAGCCTCTCTGGATTCAGTCGCACCAATCCTCTCCATGTATTGCTCACCGATAAACACAACAACTAAAGCAAAGATCCTTTTTTGTGGTTTTTGTTCTTACTCTTCTGTTTTCTCTCTTTCCCTTCATCTGTTTCTTTAGGTTCTTCTTGATGTGCTACATGTTCGTCAATCTCGCCTGCGCCCTGCAGACGTTGCTGAGGACCCCAAACTGGAGACCCAGATTTAAGTTCTACCACTGGTGAGTTTGTGGGTCAGAGTATGAAAGCTTTCTAAAAACTCTTGCATTTGTTTTATAATCTGAAATTTACATTTACTTTGACATGTACTTTGAGTTTCCACACCAAAATGCATGTTGGTGTTCATTGTGTGTAGCAAATATAAATTTATGTATTTATATCAAAATATATTATTATTTAAAGCTTTGCACATCCTTTTTTAAAATGTATTTTAAATACTGGATCATTTGCAGTCATATTTAAGTTTGCAGTCTTTTTCCTCGGTGCTGTTGCTGACACATTGCTGCTTTTCTTTGCACATTGATATTGCCTGTTGATCATTTTAACACTGAAAACACTGGCAGAGATTTGTATCACATAATGTGTTTATACTTGCAGTAGATGTGATTCAAACATGCATAAAATCCTTTTAACTATCCCAAAGATGTCATAGATATTCATCACATATGGTGCGAGGATTTAAGCTCTGCTTAAAGACAGATTCTGGATTTGATGTAAAGAAACCACCCCTGTGAGAATCTCCATAAAAAGACCTGAAGTTTGTGTGTTTGTCTTCCACGATGAGCTTAAAAATTTCTTGTTTCCATTAATCAGCCAGTTGTGTGAAGCTGGCAGAACTCTGGGTTTGACTAAACATGACGTCCTGTCCCCTGCAGGGCTCTGTCTTTCCTGGGTATGAGCTTGTGCTTATCACTCATGTTCATGTGTTCCTGGTATTATGCAATTGTGGCTATGGGCATCGCCACCTGCATCTACAAATACATTGAGTTCTGTGGGTAAGAAATAATAATTTGATCAATGATCATTTGAGAAAGGATTCTTTGATAAAAGTCACAGAGTAGTCTATTTTTTATGTATCTGGATGCTGTAGGTATGACCAGAGCTAATAATTTAATGTGCTTTGAGACAGAGCTGAGAAGGAGTGGGGTGATGGGATACGTGGGATCTCGCTCAGCGCTGCTCGCTTTGCTCTGATGAGGCTGGAGGAGGGACCACCACACACAAAGAACTGGAGGTCAGCTCATCTTTAATAGAGCTGGTTGGCTTTTGCCTGTGATTATCACTGACTGATTTTGTTTGTTATTAGGCCTCAGATCCTGGTCCTAGTGAGCATGGACGCTGAGCAAAACATCGAGCAGCCTCGTCTTCTATCTCTGACCAATCAGCTTAAAGCTGGGAAGGGTCTGACTATTGTTGGCACCTGTGTTCAAGGAACCTTCCTTGACAATTACACTGAAGCTCATAAGGCAGATCAGGTCTGTTACTCTTGAACACACACTTAACTTCTGACGCATGCACCGAAGAATCGTCACTTTCTCTAACAGCTGCGCCTGCCCTCTATCTGTGTCCCTGCAGTCGTTGCGTAAGTTGATGGAGACAGAGAAAGTAAAGGGCTTCACTCAGGTCGTCATCTCCTCCAACCTCAGAGATGGAACATCCCACTTGATTCAGGTTGGAGGACTTGGAGGTCTGAAGCACAACACGGTGATGGTCAGCTGGCCCCGTAACTGGAAACAGCCTGAGTGCCACCAGGAATTTAGGAACTTCATTGGTAAGTTATCAAGTGAAATAGAAGCTCTCTTAGTTGTTAATAAACATCAGCATCAAATATTATACCAAATACCAAATCAGGGGCATTGAAAAAGTTTGGTAAAAAGGATAGGTAATCCTTTGCTCTGCCCCCCATCGGGTTACTTTTCTCCTGTTCCTCTGTAGAGGTGGTTAGAGAGACAACTATAGCCAGTATAGCCTTGTTGGTTCCTAAGAATATTTCCAGCTATCCATCCAATGGAGAGCGTTTCACTGAAGGCCACATTGACGTGTGGTGGGTTGTCCACGATGGAGGCATGCTAATGCTTCTGCCTTTCCTCTTGCGCCAGCATAAGGTGAGGAACAAGAAACTGTGGATTCTTTTCACTTAAATGAGCACAAGTTAAGTGTGATAGTAGTGTGTTTGGGAAAAAAAACACTGTCTTCGAGGCACATTGGTTACGTCGTTATCGTTTTTTTTCTTGCTATAGGTGTGGAGGAAGTGCAAGATGCGTATTTTCACTGTAGCTCAGATGGATGACAACAGCATCCAGATGAAGAAAGACCTCATCACCTTCCTCTATCACCTGCGCATTGACGCCGTAGTGGAAGTGGTTGAGATGGTGAGAGATTTGTCTGGCACATGTTCTGTGCTCACAAACAAATCCTGCCAGGAGCGGCCTAAAAGAACAGTTTCTCGAAGGATCCCTTTTTTTGCCGTTATTCCAAAGTAACACATGGATTTTATGTGACGTGTGTTTTTCCTTTACAGCATGACGGTGACATCTCAGCCTATACCTATGAGAAGACACTGATAATGGAGCAGCGATCACAGATCCTCAAACAAATGCATCTGACCAAGAATGAAATGGAGAGAGAGGTAAGCCAGGAACCTTCATACTATCTGTAACCGGAAAAACAAATTTAATTTTAGCTACGTTGACAGCCAAAGCACTGTTTCATTATCACTATGGGCATTAAATATCCGCTCTGAGGAAAGGAACTGCTTCATGATGAGGTATCTGTGTCTGTACATGTTTACACTGATTTGCAGATAGAAAAGAATGAACTCCAGTGGGAATATAGGAATCAGATGATGTTTTTTGTTTGTTTTTCTCACAGATCCAGAGCATTACAGATTCATCCCGTGGGTCCATACGGCGTAAAAATCCATCTGCCTTGCGGTCACAGCGAAGCGCTGAGGAGGGAGCTGGTGCAGCAGAAAAACTAGAAGAGGAGGTAAAGCTGATCCAGTGTGTAATGTACAGTACTTCTGTCCTCACTTCCTTCAAACACCTGTTGCATTTTATGCCAGGTTTTAGTTTTTCTAGTTGCTGCTCAATTATTCCTTACAGTTCACTGATCAAAAATCCACCTTTTCTGACAAGCGTCTCTTTTCTCTGTATCACCCGCTCATGTGATGGTGTTTGTCTGTCAGCCTGGGGCCGTCTCCAACCCAAAACAGCTACAACTGAGCCACAGCAAGAATGTCTCCACACCAACCAGCCCCACAAGCCCCACGTCCCCTGCTGCACCTGCAGGTGGTGCTGTCGTCTGGCCCGACAACAAGGGTGCGGAAAAGGAGAAGAGCCTCCTAACAGCGACCTCGGAAGCGGGCAAAGACTTCTTCAACATGAAGCCGTGAGTGATCTGTCAGCTTAATTTAGCTCAGCAATCCTGCACAGGAAACGGGCATCGCACCCAGGATAGTAAGATCAGCCAGAGTTTTAAAAGTGACCGTCTAAACTTGTGCAAACATGCCGAGAAAAACAGCTGTGATCCATCAGGGCATGGATGTGTGGCCTCTGGGATGTCTGGCAGCAGGATGTTGGGCCCTCTGGGTCTTGTTGGTCGTGGTGTGGTGTTTCTGTGCAACAGGCTTGTTCTGGCACATCCTCTGAATGTTTAATAGGATCGAGTTTGGAAGAGTTAACGCCAGTATGAGTCACGTTACCAGTGACTGTAATGTTGTAGCTGATCCAAATGACCCACACAGTCATTTGTAAATATTTGTGCGTATCGACCCATGTCACAGGACTTAAAGCAACACTGTGGCAAACAAAACTTTGAACTTAACAGTGACATGAAAAAGAATTAGTTCTGCAGTTTATTCGTCTTCTGTCACATGATCGTCAATCGTGGTGTGAGAGCATTTCTTTCATTTCATCTAATTCATAATTGCACACCAAATTACTGTCATGTTTTGTGTATTTGTAGTTCA